TATATATATATAAAGTTGTTAGAAATTGTCATATAGAAAATTATAGTTCATGATGCACAAAATAAGCAATTTTATTAGGTTGCTTAAGGAAAAATGCTAGCATACATGCAGAAAAATATTTTAAAAGTCATTCTGATTGTAGCTTTTTCAGAAATTGTCATTTCCACCAGACAGCATTCATTCATCTGTAGCATGCAGTAAAGTAAGATTCTTCCAAACTTTCTATGATTTCATATGGAGTCAAATTAAAGTATTATATTCCCTGATTTATTTATTTAAAAAGATTTGTATGGCTGCCCATCTTAAAACAACCCTGGGCAGTTCACAACAATAAGACTATTAAAACCATAAGAACATGAAAAACTAGAAACCCACACCTCAATCAACCTCCTAGGGTGCCCCAACAACCCTCTGCAAGCTCCACCACTCTACCACAGTGCCTGGGTAAAGAGCAGGTTTTAGTGGCCTTCTGGAAGGCTAACAGGGTGGGTGCCTGCCAGATTAGCAGGGGGAGTGTGTTCCATAAGGTAGGGACAGTCATAGAAAAAGCATGCTTCCAAGGTCCCACTAGATGATAATATTTCAGGGAAGGGACCTAAAGCATGTCCATCCTATCCGATCTAGTGGGATGGGCAGATACCCTTAGGGAGAGGCAGTTCTGCAAATAGCCTCATCCTGTACTATGTAGGGCTTTAAAGGTAATAACCAGCACTTTGACTGCACCTGGAAGGAAACTGGAAGCCGGTGCAGCTTGCACAATAGGGGTGTAACATGGGCAAACCTAGAGGCACCCAACACTGTGTGCTGCTGTATTCTGGACCAGTTGTAACTTCTGGGTAGTTTTCAAGGGCATGCCTGAGAAGAGCATGTATGGGCATGAACTTAGCACTTCTTGCGAGTTCCTTAAAGGAAACATCAGTGGCAGAAGGCAGTCATATGGACCCAAGAAAAGATGTAGCTCCTATAAGGTATTCCCAATAGATGCTAAGTGGGCACCCATGTATATTCTGAATCACAAATTATCCTTCAAATCTGGATCTGTATACAGCTATACAGCACCATTATAATAACAAATTTAAGCTATGTTCAGCAAATCAGTTTTCTTGCACTTCACTTACCATTTGTGTCCATCTGTGTCCTTTTCTTTAAAAAAAATTAAGTACCCCTCCATATGTGTTGGGGATATAACTCCTAGCATTCACAATTGGCATGGAATTGCAATCCCAACACATCTGGAGGTCATCACATTGGGTAAAGCTAGTTTAGAGGCTCATGAAACATGAAGATTTTGGTTAGATATCAGCTCTCATGTGTATGACATCAGAGATTCATAGCTTGTGTTCTTGTTATGTGACTTTAATGATCTGATAGTTACTGAACAGATAGAATTTATTTACTGTCACTGATTTGATCTCATGAGAGCTTGTAGTATTAGTTTAAAAACAAAGTATTTACACATATCTATCAATTAGTGTTTTAAAAAGCTTTCATTGATACCACTGGGAAATTTGCTTAAAGATTAATTCCTGTACAGAGTCAGACCTAAGAACAGGAGGTAGCAGGCAGGAGGGAAAAAAAGGGTGAGAGTGTAGAATTGCAAGGATGAGGAAATGAGCCAGTTAATATGTGTGTGTATGTGGGGGGCTGGGGGGAGAGAGAGAGAAAAAAATATATGAATGAATGTGGGTGACTCTTTTTCTGTCCATTGAATGGACTTTCCCATATGGTTTATGGGATGGCAAAGCAATTGCATTTCACTTCTATTTTAGACATAATTCTTTTGCGATAGCTCCTCCGAGAACATTCACACTATAACAAAACCCACTCAACAGCTTTGAATCTTGATATTCTACAAAACATTAAAAATAGCAATTGCTTAATTAAACAAATATTGCTTCAATATTAAATGTTTTTCTTGGCAATAGTTATTGTAAATGGTCTTACCTTTTGGGGAGCCTTTTTCAGAATCATCTGGTTTGGTGCAGAGATAAATAGAAGGCAGACTTCGTAGCCCCCATGCTTGCAGTGATAAAGCCTATAAGAATTAGGAAAGGTACCTGATGAACAATTTGTTTTTTAATTAGCCATATTCTTTTCATGAATATGTAAAGCATACATTCATGTAACCACAGATCAGTAACATGTACATACAAAAGTGGTAATAAAATAGTTCCCATGGGAATTCCTTGTGAAAAATTCTGAAATCTTATTTTCATTTAGAAGAAAGTTTTGTTGTTATACACAATACATTTGTTGCACATTATTAATAAAGCAGAATATGCAAATACATTTAGAAATATTAAACTACATATTCTCTCTCCAATACTGTATTTAATTACTTATGGTTTTGATTTTTTTTTCAGATTCCCAGGCAACCACATCAAAAGTTTAGATGCCTAGGCAATTCATTACCTGTAATTTCTTTGGCCATTTTTACACAGAAATAAGAATAATTTGCTTATTTTCAAATAAGTGTTTCTTATTTCAAATGTGCAATTCATAAATATTTAAATTATTGCAAGAACTTAAAAAAGGGCTAAGCACTAGATTATAAAAAAGATTGTCCACTGTTTAAAGTCATATTCTTCATACAGTCTATAATTTCTATTAAAATAAAGCCTGAGTTTTATTAACAGGTATTTCTAAGCTGCCTGGGAATAATTGGAAAGCTGCAACACAGGAGGTAAAAGAATGTGAACATAGAAAAAAGCTTCCTACATGTGCCATCAATGCTATATATACAGCTAGTGGAAAGATGAGATTTTGTGGAGTCCTTGGTGCTCTCTGAGTTTGATTGTTTGCTTGTAGACATTTCATCAGCACGCTGATGATGTTACCTAGTCGGGTAATGTAATGTCTGCAAGTAAACAACCAAGCTCAGAGAGCATCCCGGACTCCACAGTTCAACATATATTCTGTTCTATGAGATGAGATTTTATTTACCTATATTGCTACAGACAGCCACAGAGATTTCTTAACTGCTTATTTAGGGCTAGGAGACATTTGAGGGACTCAAGAAATGCAGTCAAGTTTATAAAATAACAGCATATACAGTATTCAGAAGTCCTACAGTTAAACCTGGTGATTTATACACCAGATTACCCATGATATATAGTTTTACATAAGATGGTAAGAAATGACTTGATGAGTCAAGTTCAAGTCCACCCAGCCCATAACTCTTTGCAAGAAACCAAGCAACATCAGGTATACCTTCATATCCCATCAGAAAGTATAACTGGTCCACCCTTGAATAAGAAGTAAATTGTCAGAGAGAAAATTTGGATGACACTAAACATAAAAACACTACGGCGCTGATTAAGGAGGGGAGGGGGGTTTGCTAAAATGATTAAAAGATTTCTTTCGTCAGTCTTATCTATTCTGATTGCCAACAGCTCCCCGGAATCTCAAGCAGAGAAATACTTCTTACTGGTGCTGTATGAAATCTCTTATTTCAGGCATCTTTCAGGGAGCTGTAAACCGAAATAAAATTCACTCTATCCAGAACTGAACTCAAGATCTCAGCGTACTGCTTATGAGATCTTAATAACAACATGTTCTCTACAACGCTGTTTCTCGGTCCCTATCTTTCCTGCCACCATTGCTCTTTTCCTTTATCTCCCCCGCCCCAAGTGTATGCTTATTTAACTTTTTATCAGAACTATTCTCCATGTATTTGATGAAGTAGACTGAGATTCAGGATAGCTTATGAGATAACAGTCGTTGCCGTAGAATACTAGAAACCTTGATTGTGTTTTTATGCGCTAAGACTATATTCCTCGCGCTGCAGACTGGAGAATGATACCCGGGTGTAATCTACACTTCTTTATTTGGGAACCAGCCAAATAAAGTCCAAGTAGATGTCCCGAATCAACTTATACCACCTGGAAACTTCAGGTCAAATCTAGACCGAGAGTAAACCTAATTACTGGCACAGACATAGGTCGGAGCAATTGCTCATCTCTCTGGCTACAGACGGAAACCCAACAGGAAAACTTAATCCATAAACAACTCCTCAATGAGCCCGACCCTCCGTTACCTTAAACGCCGCGACACGACCGCAGCCGATTAACAGAAAGACCGCCATCTTGGCACCACCCAAAATTGTTCCGTGCTCTCCTTTGGCCGCAAATAAAAGGTTCCCACCCTACCTTCCTTCCGCAACGGCTGTCCCGAGGCAAATACGCCGATCACGTGGAAGGCGTTTCTGCTGCTTAGGAGTGGCGGGAGCTGGGAGGACCGGTGGGTTACCTTCAGTTCGAGATATGGAGGAGTAGCGGGGAGCCTCTCTGCTCCGTGTACTTCTAGACACAGACAGACATGGACAGAACTTCAGCGAAAAACGTTGGAAGAACGTCCTTGGAACATTCTCTTGGGCCCAGCGTTGCGTACCATCAATACGTTTTCCTCTCTATGATGAGGCCTCCCCCAGGGCGTTCATTGCCACGAAATTATGGAAACCTATGTCAGTGTTCTCGCGGAAATGCCCATAAGATTGCGACAGTGTATACTTTTGCAGCAGCTGCAGTTTTTAAAAACCTGGATTCGGTGGCTACTTCTTTTGATCTCCTGATATCTCAGTTCCCACAAAGGCCTTGGAGTAATTTTAATCGCGTTAGCGGTTCGGGTTGCAAACAAGCATGCTCGTCTCTATGGCAAGCCGTGCCTTTCTGAGATCATCATTAGTAAGCGGGGGAATGACATCATCAGTTGGTGACGATTCTCTGGCGCCCCAACGTGGGTCTGGGGGTGACTATGGAGGCGGCTGATGGAATCGTGGGTCCTTCTCCGGAGCTACTGATTTGCGGGGATCTGATGGTGGTGAGCGGCGGCACGAAGTTCTTGGCCGCTCGTTATAAAGAGACCAAGTGAGTGAAAAGGGGATGAAAGGATGGAGTTTAAATCAACCTTCACCAGCCTTCTAGTCTGTAAATTACCACTTCTATTACAGTACTGTTAACGGGATGGATACTGATTGGCACGATGGGAACTTTAGTCCAATATATTTTGAAGAAATCACATTGGTAGGGGCTAGTTTAGGTATTGTATTGGCACAGACTTGACAGTGAAAGTTTAGCAAAGATGCAAAGGTAAGGTAGTACTGAGAAAAAGAGAGAATGAAGCCTCTGATTACATCTTCCTATCAATTGTGAATACTTAGATTATGACGCTACTAACATGGAGAGAGAGCCAGTTCTAGTGCCTCCTTAGGCAAAAAGCTTGACCTTGAGCCAGTCACTCTCAGCCCTAGGAAGGAGACAATGGCAAACCATTTCCAAAAAGCATTGCCAAGAAAACCACAGGGACTTGTCCAGGCAGTCACCAGGAGTCAACAGTGACTCAGAGGCACCAAAAAAACCAAAACCCACATATGGAGAGTTTGTAAGTTTGTGAAAAAGAGTATTGTTCCTTTCCAATAATAGTAGTTATCTTCCACAAGGCTTTGATAGCCTTTACCCACAGTAAATTGCAGATTTTTCAAAGAGACATGAACTGGAAGACTTTATCCCCAGTATTTGTTGGTGGACCAACTTTACCAAGCATGATCTACCTAGGAAATTCCTGACCTGAAAGAAAAGACTTTCTGATTTAGAGGGTAGAGAAAGGCACAAAAGATTGCCTATATTTGAGTAGAATCTAACCAATAGAGAAGGCTTAATAGACCAAATGGAAATACAGGCAAGTTGTGGACAGTTTTGGCTGGTGTGGATCTTCCGGGCTGTGTGGCCATGTTCTGGAAGTTTTGTTTCCTAATGTTTCGCCAGTATCTGTGACCGGCATCTGGGCACAGAGAGAACTGCTCCTGTCTGTGCTCCTGCACTCTGAAGATGCCGGTCACAGATACTGGCGAAACATTAGGAAACAAAACTCCCAGAACATGGCCACACAGCCCGGAAGATCCACACCAGCCAAAACTGTCCACAACTTGCCTGTATTTCCATTTGGTCTATTAAGCCTTCTCTATTGGTTAGATTCTACTCAAATATAGGCAATCT